CCCCCCCCCCCCCCTGAAATGACGCCCCTGAGTCCAAACCACTATTAAGTAATTGATTCATTCTAAAAGTGAAGTATTTTAAACAAATTAAAACAAAACAAATTATCAATGACACAAATAATCTTTTAATGAAACAAAAAAGAGAAGTTTAATGTACGGTACAATAATAAACAACAGTAAATTAATTGGATAAAATGACATGCTTATGTACATTTACATTTGCCACATCGAATCTCCATGGATTTTCATAATGGCTTTGATAGAAACATTTGAACACTTGTGTCTGAACAAAGAATGATGTTATGAAATGGATCATGATGAAGGAATGCCATGGGAACTTACTGGAAGGAATTTTCGAAACTATCTAATTATTAATTGAGTATGCTAAAGATGATACTATAGGTAGTCCATTTACATACATGTTGAAAAGTTTTTTGCACTGCATACCATCTGTTAGATACTACAACCTATCTGTTGGACACTACAACCTATCTGTTGGATACTACAACCTATCTGTTGAATACTACAACCTATCTGTTGGACACTACAACCTATCTGTTGGACACTACAACCGATCTGCTGGACACTACAACCTATCTGCTGGACACTACAACCTATCTGTATGATACTACAACCTATCTGTTGGACACTACAACCTATCTGTTGGATACTAAAACCTATCTGTTGAATACTACAACCTATCTGTTGGACACTACAACCTATCTGTTGGATACTACAACTTATCTGTTGAATACTACAACCTATCTGTTGGACACTACAACCGATCTGCTGGTCACTACAACCGATCTGCTGGTCGCTACAACCTATGTGCTGGATGCTACAACCTATCTGTTGGACACTACAACCTATCTGTTGGACACTACAACCTATCTGTTGGATACTACAACCTATCTGTTGGACACTACAACCTATCTGTTGGATACTACAATCTATCTGTTGAATACTACAACCTATCTGTTGGACACTACAACCGATCTGCTGGTCACTACACCCTATGTGCTGGATGCTACAACCTATCTGTTGGACACTACAACCTATCTGTTGGACACTAAATCTATATGTTGAATACTACAACCTATCTGTTGGACACTACAACCTATCTGTTGGACACTGCAACCTATCTGTTGGGCACAACAACCTATCTGTTGGATGCTACAACCTATCTGTTGGATACTACAACCTATCTGTTGGACACTGCAACCTATCTGTTGGGCACAACAACCTATCTGTTGGATGCTACAACCTATCTGTCGGATAATGCAACCTATCTGTTGGACACTACAATCTATATGTTGCATCATATAATATGTCGGATAATGCAACCTTATCTGTTGAACACTACATCCAATCTGTTGGATACTACAACTATCAGTTGGATACTTCATTATTTCTGTTTGATACTGCAACCTATCAGTTGGATGCTACAACCCATATTCTGGATACTACAAATAAGACTCATCTGTTGAATAATACAACGTATATGTTGGATAGTACAACCTATCTGTTGGATACTATGACCCATTATTTGGATACTTCTACTACAACTCATCTGTTGGATAATACAAAT